CTTTCCCTCAGTGGAGGAGCTCAATCTATACAACATAAGAACATGGGTGGTATTGTGAGCATTTTTCCATGGCTCTTGAATTACACGGCCAAGGACCTTTATTGAAAATCTACGCCCAGCTGAAAGACTGAGCCACGGGTGACAGTACACCTGCCTCAAGGCGGCCACTGCCTCTAAATTGCAGGGGAAACCAAAGTGCGTCATGCAGCGGCGGTTAATGAGCTGTAATGCATAGCATGAGTAAAGCGTTCTGCTGTGTATAGTACAGTAGAGTGACAAGTGACTGTAAACAAGCTCATATCTGCCCCAGCTTGGCCCATTTGATCCCAACCACTCAGCCAATGAACACCGCTGATTTGTTAGCAGGTGAATGATTCATGAGGCTTCTCATGTATCCACTCCTGCCCTTAAGCAGAAAACATGGGTGATTGGTAGATGAGGTGGTCCGTGTCAAGACCCCCTACAGAGATTCACCAAGTGTATGGGTGTGCAGTAGTGTGGGAAGTATAGTTCAATGTTACTTACAGTATATCTAGCTAATGTTAATGTCTTATGTATTTAGCAGCACTGTGACATCTTTAGACTGAACTGTCACGGGGTACAATAGGAGCAGGTGAGGGGCTCGTGTCTTTCATACAGCCACTCTGCCTGTCACTCTATCCATCCACAGGACTTCAGACACATGGCTTGCATGACTGGCACACATAAAGAGAAGGGCACAGGACAGGTGGATGGATGAAGGTGGAGACTATTTGGTCTTTGTGACCAGAGGGACCCAGGAACTACAAAACCACAGGAGCTAAACTTAGCTACTCACCCTTTTGCACATTCCTGTTTGCATTTTCACTGCATCTGAATAACTGAGATGACAGATTTAAAAAAATGACAGCAGTGCTTAAAACAGTTTTCACAGCACAGGCTGTTTGTATTTACAGTGGCATGAGTTTGATGTTCAGTTTGATATACAGTAATGACTGAATGATAATGAGACATCCACAGGCTGAAAAGAAAAGTGATACTGCACCGACAATCTGACCAGTTTTTTCTGGTTCTCTCTTTTTTAAATCAAGTCAGGAAGCTTAACTTTGCTTTTAAACTCCTTTGTTTGTGTCTTGTTTGTCTGGTTCTAATAAACACAGGTGGTACCCAGAACTTCCTTATTTTGTGAAAACTGTACAAAAGTTGTACTTTCTGTGACATCTGTGATATTCAGCCCTACAACTCCACCCTAACTGTTCCTGAACCATCAGAAAGTACCGTTTCCTGGAGCAGGGACTCAGTTTTACCCCTGGAACAACTGTCCAATAATAGAACTATTCCAGGTTTCTCCAGTTAAACTCTTGAATTGCTCTAAAGGTTCTTGCTGCTCTAGCAAAGTTCTCATGTTATATGTGCAGGATTTGAAAATTTCTGACTTTAGCACCGCTATCTTGTAGTATAAAAAACACTACACCAGACTATAATAGACCATAACGCAGAATTTGATATAACCTATGGTCACTCTTCACAATGGCTATTTTATGTTTATCTATTTAGTTATTTGGCAAGATCTAAAAGAAGTTAATTGTGTTGATTGTCTTTATTTGTACTATGTTAGAGAACCTAAAGATGAGGGTCAAACATGGTGCAAGTACTCTGACTTACCTAAAAAAAATTCCCAAGGATCTATGCTGACTTTAGTTAACTGAAGCTTCCACAAACTGTTGCAGAGGCTCAGTGGTCTTCACTGTCTTTAGTGAAGCCTCCTGACAACAGGTTGGATTACAGCTAAGAAGAGAGTGATACCATTCTTCTAATAGACCTTCAACTTCATCTGGGCTCATCCTGGCCTTCATTCACTCACATAGAACAGACAGGGCCCTTTATTCACTGACGCTCCATTTAATATCTGCGAAACCTAAGCCTGTCATGGTAGGTCCGTGTTCAGTGACCAAGCTGATCTACGGGTGTGTGTGAATGTGTCCATGTGGCACAGTAAGAGTCTTAATCTGTCCGATTATGGCTACAGAACAACAAAGCTTCTGGTGCTTCCTGTTCTAATTGTCAGATTTTTTACAAGTTTCAAACTAATAATTTACAGAGTTTGTGAAATCAATTTTACTGAAAACAAACCAGAGGAAACAAATGTACCAAAATGTAAGATGTGGGTTTGTCAGTGCCTTTTATCAGTGACTCTCTCATCCAAGCAGGCCTAGGTATGGTGCTAATACCACACAAGATTTTTTTTGGCATCAGAATAATAATTATGTAATATGTTTTTCTAGAAAAACATTTTTTCCTGACATGCACAATAACATCAACAGTCTCAAAAACACCAGTAAGTTAATCCTAAGACAAAGCAGTTGTATAAGAATGTTTTTGTAATTAAATTACAGTTTAAATGACCAAAATTTGGATTTTTAATGAGAAATATCTTATCAAAGAATAAGCCATCACAATCAATAACTTGACTGAACATTTTAATGCCAATTTTCAATAAGAAGCATTCAATACCCGGCCCAGTGTGCAAAGGTTCAACATATTTAGTGACAATCCACTTAGCTATTTTAGGGTCAAGGCAATGTACGCTGTGGTTCCAGTTAAGACAGTAAATTTGCCTATGTGATTACAGCTACAGTATGATGACAAATATCACTCAATGCTACACAGACATACATACTGTCCAAACTTCGACATACAACCATGGAAAATGTCTTTAAGAGTGCGGGTCACACAGTGTTGTACAGCAGACATGTATTATTCTCAAGTTAAGCCAGTCAAATGTTTCAGCTGGAAATCAGACAGTCAGCCAGAGTGGGAAAGTTTAATAAAAATCCCAGTGCAGAGGAACGTCCACACTGCTATACCAGTCATGACAGACATGGCCCACGCTGTCTGCTGAAATATGGCGCCAAGCGTTTGAGTTTGGAAAACAAACACAGCTATTACTGACGTGCCAAAAGCATGTATTTATGTATAAGGGCAATAATCACTCTTTCATTGCTTTCTTTTCTGCAATACAAATTTGAAGCTAAATTATAGCTAGAGACCCGTGGAGGAAAGCGTGTTAATCGTTTAGAGTGTATTATTACTCTGGAAGCAGAACTAGCATAGACGGCTGGGTGTGAGGTTTTCCTGCCTGCTGGGAAACCAATAAGGCAATGCCACCTCTAGGCATGGACATTACCCAGAAACGCTGCATGAAAGATTTTATGCTACAATAAGATATTTTAGCATGGCCAATCCTCTGGCTGAGTGAGAGTCAACTTCGTTTTGGATATATGGAGCACACAGTGGTATTAAAAAGAAATCTACTACTACTGCTGGTACTGAAGGATGTGACCATGTTTTAGCACTGTTGATGTGGGCAGTATGTTGACGTGCTTTGGTGAAGAAATAACCTAATTATATGTCCCAGGTACTGGGCTTAATTCCCATTACAAAGACCAAAGTTTTGAAAATATCACATGCAAGTTTTAAAGGGAAGGTCAGTACATCCTCTATATCATCCATGAGACAATGTTTAAAATATAAACTGCTGAGAAAGTGATGAATACACAGGTTAAAGTGGGAGAGGCTTCTAACACAGGATCCATTTTACCTTTGATATTATCTGTGAAAACAGTTTAGATGGAGCTAATCACATTATTGCTTTAAACATGTTTAGTTTTCCTCTCTGAAAACCTACGCCTAAGCTAAACCAACAGATCTCCACACTGGCAGCATGCAGGGATTTGGCTCTCTCTCACTCTTGAGTGGGGAGGTTCAGTAGCTCAGCAAACACTGGGGATGACAGTGGGGCCTTGACATGGCTGAAGCAGGCAAGAGCAGGTTGAGAGGCTGGACAGGCATCTGATCACAACAAAGAGATTATGAGCTCAGCATGCAGGCTAGCAGTGTTGCAGGCCTCCCTGAGAGCTTCATGGGAAATGACTGCTGACTGGTAGAGAAAAGCTCAAGCAGAGTTGATGATAAAAGGCAGCAGTGTACAGCTCTCGTCAAATGCAGCAGCTCAACAGCCAGCAGGGGCTTCAGATGATGCAAGCAAACCAGCCGTTATGAAGGAGTGTTGGAGGAAGATATGGTCACGGACATGTAGGACAGAAATATGATTAAAAGCCTCAGTGAATGTTGTAAAAAGAAAGATGAGGAGAATCAGAAAATAATATCTGACTGTATTCCTTGCAGCCAAGATCATCACCTACACAAGTCCTTTTTTTCCTTGCTCAGCAAAGGTTCTGGGATTTTCTCTCCTGGCAGCTAAGCTTGTCTGGAGTTGTTACAGACACAAGGGAATCCTTCAGCACAAACATATCTCTCTGGCCCTGGGCAATAATTGTAGATCAAGCCTCTGACTAATGATGGGGAGATTGGGATTCAACTACTCAGCTGCTAATTAGTATGAAATTCACTATGACTTCTGTTCAGAAGGCCCCCCATTACAGAAAAAAAGTCCTCAAATCCTAACAGCCTTCAATGGTTTTCTGCTGTGATTAGTTTTATCCAATACATGCAGGTTTCTTTACTACTAAGCCTGACAGACACAAAGGCCCAAGAACTTTGGAGGCAAAAGAAAACACAGTCAAATGAAGAATGTTATGATGCTCAAAAGAAACCTGTATATATTTATATTAATGAAAAATGTGGTCACTAGAATGAGTAGGTTTTTCACAAGGTGTCTTTCTCTGGGTTGACTGACGAGAAAAACCGCCAGTGCTTTTCAGGATCTGTTCTGATGGGTGGCTGTGGAGCAGAATGCCCTGGCTGTGGATGGGGAGGAACATGTGCATTTAATCTGCCTGCTTCCAAATGCCCTGTGGCAACCACAGCAAAGAGCAGAAAAACGTAAATGGACAAAAT